TTGGTGGTGAGGCAGGAGCCCCTGGGAGCCACAGGGGCAGTGGGAGAGGCTGACATACCTGTGCAAGGGGCAGCACTTGGACAGCTCTTGGATCTAATTCCTACAGAAACAAACAATGGGGAAGCACTGGATCAGGGACAGCTTTGGGGGAACTTATCTTCAAGACAAGATTATCTAGCTCAGTGCAAATGAGAAGGGAAAACACAGGCTTCATAATACATACTGCTGACACATTAGTTGAAATTACCTTCACTGTTCAGTTATATATCACACCCCACCTTCCACAACTAATACAGAACACACATGCATGCATGCACACACATTTTGTACCCTCAACTTAAACCCATCACTTACATTTAAAAATATAAAGTCTCACTAGGAACACCCTACAAGGTGGGGTCAGACACATAGCGACAGACAGCGAGTCACCTGCACACGAGATGTAGGCTTCCTCCTTAGGAGAACACGAACTGTATTTCCAAGGGTCAGAAGGACACTGCCAGAGAGAGGTATCAGTTTTCTGACACAGGATTCCATCCACCCACCGGGGTCTAGAACCTTCCCTAAAGGCAACAGAAGTGTTCAAGATTCCCCTGTCCCCACAGCCAAGCTGGCTGCAGACGATGGACAAGGTGATGTCTTCCATGGGGCTGCGGCAGACACTACCCCAGGTCCCGTTGTAGAAGACTTCCAGCCACCCGGCACACTCCTGGTCCTTGCTCACCATCCTGAGAGCCAGGAACTCTAAAATTAAAAGGGGGAGACAGGGCACAGTTGACACTCCACTCAACGACCTGAGTGTTCCTCTCTCCCAGAAATTGTGAACATTAACCTCTGACCCAGCTGAGTAGACACCCATGAGGTGACAAGACTGAGATGTGTTTAACTTTAAGTTGACTTTGTCCATTTGTGTCTCTCTTTCCAGCTCTACCACAAGGATGGAATGGAATATGAACAGAGAGGAAGACCAACCTAGGCCCCCTGCGGGGAGCGGAAGTTGAATTCTCCTCCTGACAAAACCTCTAGAAGGGGATGTGAAGGGGATGTGGATATTATGGGGATGGATGGAATAATGAACCCACAAATCTCTACATCCAATCCCTGAAACCTGTCAATATGTTACCTCACCTGGCAAAAGGGACTTTACAGATGTAATTAACGTACAAACCTTGGGGTGGTGAAAGTCACCTGGAGTATTGTAGATTAACCACGAGAGCCCAGTCTAATCACATCCTTAGACCCACTATCCTCACAAATGGGTAACCTTCTCAGCTTCAGTCAGAGGGGAATGTGACTCAGGAAAAAGAGTCAGGGGGAGGCAATGTTATTTGTCTGAAGAAAAAGAAAGAGAGCTCTGAGCCAAGGAGTGCACACCGTCTTTAGGGACTCGGAAAGACGGGGGAAAGGAATCCCTCCCCAGGGCTTCCAGAAAGGGTGCAGCCCTGTGGACACCTTGG